AAGATGGCCCGACGAATGCCCCACCCATGACGGCCCAAAAAGGACCCAAGACGCAAGGACCAACGTGTACGGGGCGAAGCGACAATCTCTCTCTCTCTCTCTCTATATATATATGTATAGGTGTTGCACAACGGTGCTTACGCCGCAGAGGTTACACACTATCGCTTACACCACGCAACCTGCGCCAGACAGCTTGCACCACGTACATTGCCCCGCACAACTTACACCACATAACTTGCACCTCGTCGCTTGCGTAACATAGTTTTTACCACATAGCCTGCACAGCGTAGCTTTCACTACATAGCTTACATCATAGCGGGCACAACACAACTTGCAACACACAACTCGCATCACACACATTGCACCGTGTAGCCTGCACCACGTAGCTTGCACCTCGTAGTGTACAAAGCACGGCTTGCACGACACAGCTTGCACCACAAAGCTTACCCCACAGGTCTTGCACCGCAGAATGATACCACACATATTTCACCACAGACCTTATACCACATACCTTGCGCAATATAACGCACGAAACTCAACAGCTTCTCCCTGGAAGCACTGAGGACCCAGCCGAGACACCTCGGACGACCGAGAGGGGCCCAAGACGTCACCAGGACGGCCAGAGAGGCCTCAACAGGCGACCGAGACAACCCCAGGGCAGTCCAGGCAGGCCCCGCACGATGAGAGCCCCTCAAAGAATATGTAGAAACGACCGGCGCCACATGCTACGGTCGGAAACTGTCGCTCGACGTGTCGCTGCGGCGGCCCCGCCGACACGCTATGCCCTGCAGGCGCTCCGCTCCGCGGGGCAGGAGGCTGGGAAAGGCTCGGGACGGCGACGCCCAGGGACAGGGCCGTGGACAGCGCGTCGCGCCAAGGCGCGGTGGGCCAGAGCCCGCGGCGCGACACGCTACGCCACAGCTCCTGCCCGCACGGTCCGGGTGCTGGGGGGGAGCCCCGTGGGCCCGCGCGAAAGGTCACTCTCGCAAAGGGTCACTCTTGCGCGTCGCCGAGGCCTTCGAGCGCCCGAAGCGTCGCCGAGCAGCGTGCTGCGCCGGCACCGTGGCGGGGCCCTGCCGCAAGCACGCTGGATAGGCAGCCTGCGCGGGCGCGCGCTCGCCGCTCCCGTGCGGGGCCCGGGCGCCCGCCGCGAGATCGCGGGGCGCGGGGCGCATCGAAGCATCGGCGCGTCGCACACTGCTGATGTCGGCGGCACGCCCAGGGCTGCAATGAAAGGGGGCAAGTCTTCTCGGACGGCGATGGGGCTGCTCAGAACACCCCTGGCCCCACGAGAAGCCGCCCCTGTCGACGGAGGAGGCCGAGAACACTTCTCAGAAGGGCGCGAGGGCTTCCTAGAAGCCCAGCCGCCTGCCGCGAGAAGGCCCGCCCCCTCTCACTTCCCCCCGGGCTCTCGGAAGCTGGGCGAGGGCTGGTAAAACCGTGGCTGCTAAAACGGCCATCCCGGAAAGAAAAAACAACTTCCCGGAATGTGGCGCGGCACGCGAAACAGTCAACGGGCTTTTTCCCGGAAGGACGAAGACAACTTCCAGGAGGTCGATTTAAGCAGCCACGGATTTAGCAGCCCTTGCCCGGCTTCCGAGCATCGCCGATGATGAGCACAAGGTGACTAGAAGAATACTCGGGATCTCACAATGGAAGAAGGTGGTCTGATTTGGAAGGGGCCTGATTTGAGCTGTCTTGGCGGGTTCCGGGGGAACTCGGCAAAAGGGCGGCCTTTCTGTGGCTGGTCTGGGGGGGTCTACAATTGCTCATCTGGAAGGTTTGTGACCCCCAGTCTTATGACATTCGGAGCAAGCAGCTGCAGCGACGTGAAGTTTCGAAGGTCCGCGCGGACCTCCGAACATGTACGATTATGCTGAATTGCCTTCTCCGACCAAATGGCAACACGAGCAAACGCTTACATACCCGGAAGGCTAAGACAATAACAACACCACTCACACGTGCGAGGCCGGGTAGAAACATGAGCACGATGGTGATCATGCGGATGCGCGGGAGAATGAACACGATGATGACGGCGATAGCACTGCTGTACTATTCGCAAGAGCAGCGGGTCTGCCCTGCAGAGCCAGGCGGATCACGACAACATGGCAGCGACATAGTGTGGGAGGCCAGGGGGTGATGCGCATCCGTTCGCTCGATCGATCCACCCAGCGTGCTTCTCTTTCTCCCTCTTCGGCTCCCTCTTCCTCTGCCTCGGCCTCTCTGCCTCCCCCGATGTGTCTCCCCCTCGCCATGTTTCCTCACCCCATAACCCACTTTTCCGTTCCTGTACTTCTGCCTATGTATACAGACATGTCTACCTCCTCCCCGTCGCACCCCAGGGGCGTGTCCGCAGTGGCAAGGCTTGTCGCCTGGATCTTCTCCACCTCTGATGACCCTTACGCTCGGAATGTGCGACAGCTGCACAAATCTCGCCGTAGCGCCGCACACTTTCGTTTGAATATCTTGCGCAATTTACATATCTTCCGGCAGTAACTCGGGTGGAGGGGCGAGGATTCAGCATTCGAGTTCTGAAAAGGCGGGTCTGGTCACAATGTTGCGCACGTTCGTCCTAAAAAGTGTGACGGCTTCAGAGGTGGATGCAGTGCCTTTTCAACCTGGGGCTCTCGCCTGAGCGCCGCGCACATTCGTCTTAAACATTCGCAGCAACAGCAAGGATGGAGGCGGGCTGCTTCTCAAATGTGAGTCTCGGCTGCGGTCTCCCTAATGTTGACGACCAGACGGCCAAAAGTACTTAGCAATTGTGTGGGAGGAGGCGGGCTCCCTTCAAACTGGGACTCAGCATTGAAAGCTTCGTGAATCAACGTAAGCTTGAGCATCATTTGTGCGGATCGAGAGGGGGGGAACGGGTCAATGTCAAACCATGCGTAAAGGAATGCGATGCTGGCCTTTTGCATCCCTCGCAACTTACTGGGGGGATGCAAGGCCGCTCCTTAACGCAACGGGGCTCTCTCTCTCTCTCTCTCTCGCTCCAACGGCAAACCCAGAGGCGCTCGTCTTTCCACAGGGCGCTCCCCGTGGCCGGAAGAACCGCTTGCAGGGACTGCTAGACGTTCTTGCCAGCATCCTGGGCAGAGGGCTGCAGGACGTTGCACTGTTCTAGAACCGTTGATGCTTCCTGGCTGCACCCTGGCACACCTCCTCTTCCTCCTCCTGTTCTCCCCCCCCCCCCCTCTGGTGCGGCCTCCCGACCCCGCCAGGCCCTGTGCGTGGGATGGGAGGGCAGAGGGGAGGGATGCAGTTACTGCTGTGAAGCACTGCGGCAGACAGGATTCCCTATATTGTCTCATATTTTCTAGGTTTTTGCCTTCCCCCCCACTTCCCATCTCTTCCTATATTTTCTGGGGAATCGACGATTCGTTGTGTCTGTGTGTTGTTTTCCCTCCTGCTCTGTGGCTCGCTCGCTCGCTCTTCCCCCTTGGTGCTCGGCCTCCCAGAGAGGCCCACCGAGAGGCCTCCCGCGAGATCCCAGCGAGCAGCCAATAGGCGTCACTGGCCATCGCTCGGACGTCCATTCCCTGTGTTTTTTTGGTTTCGTGCGTGGTTTTCTCGCCAAATGATCAAGGATGCTCCTCGATGGTCCTCGCCGAAGGAAAAATGCACACGTCCGAGCAATGCCAGGGTCATGCCCGCAACCCAGGCGCGGTGGCGGGATAGGCCGAAGGCCATTCGACAGCCTGGGCTCTGTTTTCGGACGGCTCCCTGCTCCATAGAGCTCGCTCGCTCGATCTCCCCCCCTGGTGCCTGTGCTTCCCCTCCCTGATGGCCTCGCGCCTCAGCTCGCCGGCGCGCTGTCTCAAAAGCCGCCGCCCAGTGGGGAAGATCCTGCGTGTGGTGGGCTCGTGCTGTGACGACGTCTGCGCTGGTTGCTGACACCGCGTCTGGCGGCGCGCACATAGGGGGGGGGGAGGGGAGGGGGAAGGCTTCTTAGAAGGAGGCTGCTTCTTAGAAGGCACGGGCCTCACATCTACAGACAAGGCCCGCGCCTTCTAAGAGACAAGGGTGCTTCTTAGAAGCCTTCCCCCCCTCCTCCTACCCCCTTCTGCGCGTGGCTCAGTTGGTTGCTGATACCGCATGGATCCTTCAACGTTGAACGATCGTGGCTTACTGGCAACGCGGATCGTTCGATATCGGTCGATTCTGGCGATTCACCTTGAGCGTCCGCTCTGGGGCCGCTGCGACGCCGACGCGGCACAAGCCTGCCGTGCCTAGCCAAGCGTGTGATACACAATGGGTTGTCGCTCCCTTGACCACGAGCTTTTGCATGGTGCTTCCAACCGACGGCGCATATCACTAGTCTCACGAAGGCCGTAGAAGCATGAACGCATGCTCGACACGAGGCAACACTGCACTGGAATTCGCAATGATTCTGATGAGTGCTACAGTCGGGGCGCTGACCTAAGGAACCCTAAATAAGGAACGAGGCCCCTTTTTTCCCACAAGTTAAACGTAGGTTTCCCATCGAAGCCCTAAGCAAAACCAAAGGCGAACTGCAAAAAAACTAAGGAACACCGAGCCCCTCCCAAACGAACAGGGTTCCTTCCTCAGGGCCCCGACTGTAGATGCAATGTGGCCGACCGGCCGGCACCCATTCGAAATGACCCTCTGGCGCGCAGACGCGCAGGCGAGCCTGGGCCCTCGCAGTCGGACCGCTCGGTCCGCCGCAGCGGCCTCACATTCGAAACCGGAATGCTGCTCCAACGGGTAGCCCAATGAAACCCAAGAGGCGACGCGCGGGACGTGCTCTGTTTGTAACGTTGGCCGCATCGGCAACTGTTAACTGCGGAATCCACCTCGTTGTTCTGAACTTCAAAGGGCTGATCCTTGCCAGATCTTTCAGCAACGCCACTATCGAGATTCAGTGTGAGGAAGTCTGCAGCGCCACGAGACTTGACACATCGCAGAGAACTAACATGAATGCCTCACGCAACGTCATCATGCACCATGTGTATCCGGGGCATTGAAAAAGAGGCGACAACCAGCGTCTCGTTGGTGGTCATCGGCGACAAACCACCTCCCACTCGCCGATTTGTGCGGAACGCCGCCAACAACGCCGACATATCATGTGCGAATCAGGCCAACACATGCTTCCCTTTGGACGCGAGTTCGTCTGAAAATGCAACCGCGGAGTCCAGGGCCAATCTACCGCAACACCGTTTGGCATGAGCGAAAAGGGCCCTGGTGAAAACGGGTCCTGGACCCCAGAGCTCTCTCCTCGGGACATGGCGTTCGACTCCCGAGTAATTTCGCTTGATGGCCCTGGTGCCTAGGAACAGCCTCGGAGCCTGGCCAGGACAGAGAGCTTCAGGACCCCTTGCAATCGTGCTGAGGAGAACTTGCCGCCGCTGCAGCTTCGAGCCCAGACATCTGGCCCCTAGAATTTGTCGATGCGTGCTCCCCCGGACCTCTCGAGCTCCTCCCCAGGACCAGCTTGTCATCATGAGTAGTTGTTTGACAGCCCCAAGGCCCAGAAAAGAAAGGCCCACACTGGTCGCCAGAATTTTTTCCAGCAAGCCCTTACGACAAAAAAACGCTGGTGATGATGATGCTAGTGATGATGATGACGATGACGACGCTGATGAAGATGATGAGAAAATGCGTGAACAGGACTTTGACATGTTGATGTGTTGACCGGCATGTGGCATTCATCTGTGATTGGAAGCCTCTATCTTGGGATGATTGTATCAACAATGGTTTTGCAATACCCGCGTGGTTACATGAACAAAGCAAATTTGAAATACAATCTAGGCACGTATTACAACAACGTGTCTTACAACAACTGCGCGTGAGGCCCACACTGCAATATTTGACAGAGTTGGCGGGTCAGAGACGATTGTTGAATTATGTCGACATGCGCGCGCGTGCGGCCCGCGTGGTCCTGCTCGGCAGAAAAAGAAAGACATGCAGTTGCCTAAGTACTTCAGCGAGTGCGCGAGCGCACCCATATGGCAACCTTGTGATTCGAAGTGGTTCCCCAAACAGGGCTTGCGCTTAGGGGTTCGTTCGTACTTCCACTCTGAGGAGCTGGGCCTGGTTATCGGTCAGGCCGGCTTGTAGCCGCCTGTCGCCGCCGTCCTTGCTCACCGTTTTGATAGTGCGGAGCTCGCACATTGCACTGCTGTGCGTTGCTTTGCGTTGCTATTACATGTTTTGCATTGCTGTGCGTTGCTCTGGATTGCTTTGCATGTCTGTGCAATCGGTTTGCAATCGCTTTGGACTGATTTCTCGACATTGCCTTGCGTAGCGTTGCATTGCGCTATGTTGCGTCACTTGGCATTGCTTTGCATTGCTTTCATTCCTTTGCACTGCTTTGCAATTGCAGCGCATTGCTTTGAATTGCTTTGTGTTGGTTTGCGTTGAATTGCACCACGTACGCTGCACGACCTAGATCGCACCACATTGGTTGCACCGTACATGTTATAGGAGATCACTGTGTGGGGGCCGAGCTGGCTAGCATGTCTAAACGATCGAATGGCGTCTCCTGTAAGGCGGAAACCCATGGCATTGACAGGCAGAGCGAGACCCGTGAATCCGCAGTCCGGCCGCCCAGCAACAGAGGCAACGGCCTCGTAGTGCGAGCACCACCTGGGAATGGAAAGCAGACGCGTCCACGGTCAACGAGTTGGCGGCGCGCCGAGTGGGGACGTGAATGGGCGCAGGCCTGCTCGGACAGCAGCGGGCTTCGGAGAAGGCACAGAACGCTTGTCGGGCGGCCAGGTGCCTTCTGGGCCTTCCGAGAAGGCCCGCCGACATCTGCCCTCCCCCCCTGCGCGTGCCGCCGACCACGAGAGCCTCAACTAGGAGGCAAACGAACCTACCTCGCTTTTGACCACCCTCGCTTCCAAAAGATACCAAACGATGCCAGGCTACGGCCCGCACCAGTCAGGTCGCTTGACCAGGAGGCGCGTGGTATGACTTGGTTTTGTCTGGAAGCGAAAGCGGAGTAGGTAATTCACGCTCTGATCAACGCCCGCCCTGCTCTCGCAGCGACGAGCCAGCCCGGCCAAGCCCCGCCAAAAGCCACCTCCGCCCGTGGCGCGACGGAGCGTGGCGTCGTGACAGCGAAGGCGGCCGCCGCCGCCGTGGGGCCTGCGCTCCGGGTCGCCGCGCGGCCCACCGCAGGCGGCCCCCCCCGAGCCATCGCCCGCTTCGGCGAGGACGCCGGCGGGATCCGGCTGGCGGCGAGGCAAGACGGCGCCGACGGCGCGGGCAGCTCCTCCTCCTCCTCCTCCTCCTCCTCCTCCTCCTCCTCCTCCTCCTCCACGTCTTGGCCTCGTCCTCCTCCTCCTCCTCCTCCTCCTCCTCCTCCTCCTCCTCGATCCTCGTCCTCCTCCTCCTCCTCCTCGTCCTGGCCTCGTCTTACCTCCAGCGCCTCCCGCAGCCCCAGCGGCGTCCCGCGGCCCCGCCACGAGCTTGACCCCGAGCTAGGAAGCGCCTGGTCTGCCTGAGCTCCCCTCTCCTCCTGCACGGCCCCCAGGACTCCCGAGTCCGAGGGGACTCCCGGGGGCCAGGCGGTCGGCGCCCGCGCGCGCCGTGCCGCGCCCGCGCGCACAGGGCGGCTCGCCCACTTCCTGCTCGCCTCGCGGCGGCGGCGCCGCCTCCTTCGCCTTCTCCTCTCCCCTCGCTCCGCTGCCCACTACCCCTCCTCCCCCGCGGCCGCCCTTCGACACCCCTGGTTGTCGGGGGATCCTCCGGCGACGTTTCTGCTCCCGTCCCAGGGCGCAGAGCAGCGTCACCCCTCGCGGGGTGGGGGTCCGCCAGTTGCGTTTCCTGTCCACCGAGAAATGGTCATGTGTGTCGCAAGAAATTTGATCAGGTGCGCGGTGCAGCAGCTGTTGAGGCAGAGGTCTCCAACCCAGTCCTCTCCCCGCTCCTCACCCCGAAACCCCCTCCTCCCCCTGACTCGCGGAGACGTGCCTTGGTCTGCTGGGCCCGTGGGAGGGGAGCTGCGCGGCCGCTACGGCGCGGGGCGCGCCTCCTATGACGCAGCCGGTGGCTCCAGCTGAGCAAAATCAAACCACGCCTCCCCCTCCTCTTCCCCCGCCCCCCTCCCCTCGTCACCGACGAACAGCTTGTTCGCCAGAAGCTGCTGCTGGCGCATGACGGGCCGCGGCGCCGGGGCTCCTCACGGCGGCCCCGGCTCTCTCCCGTCTCGCGCATCTCCCCTCCGTCTGCCCCATACGAGCATCGAGACTAGAGCTTCAGGACATGATTGATCCCTTTTGTGGGGCCCCCGAGGCCCGCGGGGACCTCTGTCTTCTGTCCATGTCTGTCCGTGCCTGTCCTTGCCTGTCTCGCTCTATGTCGCTACCCATTTTCCTCTCTCTCTCTCTCTCTTTCTCTTTCTCTCTCCCTCTCTCTCTCTTTCTCGTTTTTTCTTTTTCCATTTTTTTGTTCTCTCTCTCTCTCTCTCTCATCCTCCCTCTCTCCCTCTCTCGCTTACCCCGCCCTCGCCTCCCCGCTCGTCGTATCCCCTCCCCTCCCCTCCCCTCCCCCGCCCTCTCCACACGGTGGGGCCTTCAACCTCAGCGAGTGGACCCCCAGGGCGCTGGCAGCTCTCCCGAGGCCCCTCTCAACCCTTCCCCGCAGTTTGCCCTCCCCATGCTGCGCCTCAGGCGAAACCAGGGCTAGTGCACGGTCGACATCAACTTGCCAACCCTCTGCTGCTTCCCCCCCTCCACCTTCTCCCCGTTCTGGTTCTCATTCTCCTCCACCTCGTCCCCCCTCCTCATCTTCCTGCCGTTCCTCCTGGGGGAGGGGGATGCTCTGGTTCCCAGCGGCAGAACTTGAAAACGGCAATGTCCATGTGATGGGGGGGCACCAAGAAGGGTGCGCGATGAGCAACCTCCAGTGTGTCTTCTGGACTCTGGACGGTCTCCGTGACGGACATGGACTTTACATTGCAAGCCCCGTCCAGGCACCCCACATCGTCAGCTACACCGCTGGGATTGGGCACTGAACGCGCTCACTCAGAAGTGGATCGTGGGGTGCCCAACGTCACCAGCTCCCCCCGCGGGGATCAGACACCATGGGAGGGAGGCGACGGAGCCAAGAACAGCGATGTGCCCCGCGAGACTGGCGAGCAGGGAAAGGCCGTCAGCTACGACGCGCGGGAGCGCAATAATGCCTGCCCAAGAAATATTGAAACGACAGAAATTCGATCCTTGATCCTCGACGCTCATCAACTTCCTCCCTCACTCCTTCGCTCCTCCGCGATCCTCGACCATCCTCTGCCTCCTTCGATCCTCCTCCCTCCTCCCTCGATCCACCTCCTCCTCCTCCTCCTCCTCAGCATGGATCCTCTATCCTCCTACTCTGCCACCCTCCGTCCTCCTCCCTACACCTCCCTCGATCTTGATCCTCGTTCTCCTTGTCGATCCTCCTCCTCTTCCTCCTCTGCCTCCATCGATCCTCCACCCTCCAACCTCCTCCTCCTCTTCGATCGTCTATTCTCGATCCTCCTCTATCCTCTTTCTTCATGGTCTGTGATGTGGTGCATCCTCACCAGCTGCTCCTTTCCCCTCTGCCTCCTCCTCCTCCTGCTGCTCCTCCTCCTCCTCCTCCTCTTCCTCCTCCTCCTCCTCCTCCTCCTCCTCCTCCTCCTCCTCCTCCTCCTCCCCCCCTTTACCGTCTTTCCACCTTCCTCTTTCTCTCCTTCTTCCCCTCTCCTGGGCGCGCTCTGGGGCGTTGAGGCTTCGCACTGAACATCGCCCTCGCCTTGCCCGCAGTGCGGTGCCCGCTCTCACCGTCTGCTCTGCTGCTCGTCGCCCTTCAGAGGCCTGCTCCAGCCCATGTAAAGCAGCGTGCCCGAGGAGCCCGAGAGGTCTTCCGGGTCTCCGTCCGCGCTGGGCTGGTTCTAGGGCGCGGCCTGCAGACAACGACCACCGGCTCCCTCAACGATATCCGCTGATGTGATACGTCCAACCCGCTGTTGTTTCCGTCGTTTCGACCTCGACGGGAGTCGGGCCGCTTTCGGGCCCGGGGATAATAATAAAAAGGATCCAGGGCAGAGAACTACTCCCTTGGAGGGGTCGGGAGCCATGGGGTCGACAGCATCCTCGAGAAGGAACTCTGTCCGGTCCTTGCCGCGCACGCGTCGGCGGTCGCTTGTCTGCTGGTCGAACCTCGAGCCTGCACCGCGTGCTGGCGCACTGCACCTCCACAGCGGCGTGGCGCGAGGCAACCGTGCTGGAGCGGGTGCCGCAGGTGGACCTCGTGCTGCGGGCCCCCACGGCTGTGGAGTGCTGCGGGCCCCCACGGGTGTGGACCTCGGAAGAGGAGTAGGAGGGGCAGGAGGAAGAGGCGGAGGAGGCGGAGGAGGAGGAGGAGAAGGCGGAGGAGGAGAAGGAGGAGGAGGAGGAGGAGGAGAGGGATGAGGAGGAGGAGGAGGAGGAGGAGGAGGAGGAGGAGGAGGAGGCGGAGAAGGAGGAGGAGAAGGCGGCGGCGGAGGCGGAGGCGGAGGAGGAGGAGGAGGAAGAGGAGGAGGAGGAGGAGGAGGAGGAGGAGGAGGAGGTGTGCCGCGCGTTGGGCGCCACAGTGCGCCCTGCGGGTATGGCGGGTGCAACCTGCGTGCACGGGTGCGCCGCCGTGGCTGCCCGCCCGCATGCCTGCGCCGCGCGCGCGCACCAGGTCAGGCCAGAAGGGGCAGTCCCTCGGGGCGGGCACACGCAGCGGGGCGGACCTGCCCGAGGCTCCAACCAGAGGTGCCTCCTCGGCATACCCTCGATCCTCATCGATCCGCCTCCCTTGAGCCTCCTCCGAGATCCTCGATCCTCCTCCTCCTCTTCCCCTGCCTCCCTCGGTTCTCATCCCTCCTCCTGCCTCGATCCTCCACCTGCATTGCCTCCTCGATCCTTGACGCTCCTCCTCCACCCCCTTCCTGTCCTCCGCCCCCTCGTTCTCCTCATCCTCCCCCTCCCCCTCCCCCTCCTCCTCCTCCTCCTCCTCCTCCTCCTCCTCCTCCTCCTCCTCCTTCCATTGCGTTGACATGATCTGTCTCCTCCTCCTCCTCCTCCTCCTCTCCTTCCGCTGGGGTCCTGCGACGTTGGCCACGACAATGCCGGGCCTGCCCGCAGCGAAGGAGGGGAGGGCCAGGCCGCCAAGAAGCTGGCGCAATCAGCGGCGGGAGGGGTCAACGGCGGGAGTGGGGAGGGGGAAGAGAGGGGGGGAAGAGGAGGGGGTCGAGGAGGGAGAGGGGGAAGGAGGAAGAAAGGAGATGAGGAGTAGGAAGGGGAGGATGGAAGAGACTGAGGAATATGAGTGGGGTGGGTCGGGAGAGGTGAGGTAGGAACGTTCGGTCGGTTATATGCTTGCAGCCAAATGGTGTTGCATACGTTCGTGCCCACGTTGTGACTAAGCCCCGTTGTTGCTTCTCGTTTCCCTCTGCTCTCGTCTCATTTCCCCATCCTCTTCTTTCTTCTCCTCCCATGTGCACATGGGCCATGCGGGCGCTGGGTTTCCACACATACTTCACGTTTTCAATCGTTGGTCATGCTGCAGAGGAACCGCGCATGGATTCCCAACCCCCTCTCGTTTGCACCGAGCACGGAGGTCGCGACTTCTCCTCCTCCCCCGTCGTTCTCCTCCCTGCCTCCTCCGTCGCTGCTCCCCGGGTGGCTGCGAGCTGCGCAACCGTCGCCACTTTTATGGGCTCCTGGGGCGCGATGTGGCGCAGGGGATTGCGCGGATGCCTCGCCTCTTCCTGGGCGGGCTGCGGACTGCGCAACTATAACCACTCTCGCAGGCTCCCGGGCGATCCAGCGAGCGGACGACTACCAGTGCGGACAGCCGTCCGGGGCCCATCCAAGACCGAGTGGAGGAGGCCGTGGCCTCAGGAATCATCTATACATATATATATATATATACACTGTAGGCTCCTGCGGGGCATGGCGGGGCAAGGGAGTACGCGGATCCAGCCGAGACCTCGCATCTCCCTGGGGGAGCTGCGAACTGCGCAACTATCGCCACTTTCGCTGGCTCCTGGGAGGTACGGCGGAACAGGGGAGTACGTGGATCCAGCTTGGACCTCGCATTTCCCTGGGGGGGCTGCGAACTGCGCAACTGTCGCCACCTTCGTAGACTCCTTGAAAGTCTAACGAGGTCGGGGTGCACGCGCACCCATTTGAGATTTCGCTTCTCCCTGGGATGCTGCGACATGCTCAACTATCGCCAACTTCGTGGGCTCCTGGGAGGTCCAACGGAATCGGGAGCTCCCTGGGTGGCTGCGAACTGCACAATTGCCGCCACTTTGGTAGGCTCCTCGGAGGCACGGTGGAGATGAGGCCAGCGCTGATCGTGCACATCTGGCGATGTGTTCTTTTGTGGAGCGTGCGCAAGAACACTCGCCTCGCGTGGAGGGTTGGGTACGTCTCGGGCAATTTCTTTTATAACGGGTTCACCATTGCTCACCTTCCTAGGGGGGGACACATGGCTCCATTATGCGACGAACTACAAACCTATTCCTTCTGAAACGGGTTACAAAATGACTCATGTCGTGGCGGACTTGCGATTGACTTGTCACCATTACACACAACTGTTGTCCAACAATCACGTGCAACAACCGTTAAATTTCACTGTGCGATGGGATGCCTTATTCTACATGTTGGCCACATATGTATCTGTTGACCCTGACGTAACGATCCGCACGATGGGCGCACCCAAATTTCAAATGTTGAGGATGTCTCTAGCGAAACGGCCAAGCAACTCGCCGACAGGACGGCTTCACAGATCCGAGGGCGCGTATGAGAAATCGGAAGCACCCCTCACGCATATCGTGACGTCAGGGACCAAAAGCACAACGGATCTTCAACATTTTGACATGCAACTATCCAAAACACATGTTAGCCAACGTGGACCCCGAACAGTAGTGGATTGCACGGTGGATCTGCAAGATATGGGCTGCGCTGTAAAAACTAGATGGTGCAATATAGATGCTGCAATCTACATGATGCAATCTGCAGGGTGCAAGTTATGTTGTGCCCGCTATGTGGTGCAAGCTATATTGTGCAAGCTATATGGTGCAATCTACGTGATACAAGATATGCAGTGCAAGTTTGTTGGTGCAAGCTACGTGGTGCAGTATGTGTTGCGCAAGCGATGTGGTGCAAGCTAGGTGATGCAATCTGCCCGGTGCAAGCTATGTGGTGCAAGCTGCATGGTTCAAGCTGTGTGGTGCAAGCTAAGGCTGCAGCAAGTGCACTCGGCAGAACATGTGCAATATCTCTGATTGAAAACCCACTGGTTGAAGTGTCCAAATGCTTACAGACAGGGACCGTGCACCAAATAGCTTGCACCAACGGGATAGCTTGCACCACGCATGTTTTTGTTTTGTTGTGCATTGGTGCGCGTCCACGCCATGCTGCGTAGTGCTGGCAATGAACACGATAACACCTCGCTGGTTTCTAACTTGCCCTCGTCACTCTTAGGCTCGATGCGTCCACTGCGCTCTTCGTGAACATTAGCTTTCCCCCGCAGACGGGTTACAACGAGTCCAAATGCACCAACAACTCCCGGCTTCACCACAGAACGAATGCAAGGCGAACAACATTTGTTGCGCTTAACTTTGCCGGGATGACGTCAAGAGAAATTGCCCAATCGCACTCAACGGTTGGACCGTGCAACTGGATTTGGTGGCCCGGTTGAAATGTTATGCTGCAGCAAGAACTCAATGCAAGTCGTAGGATGTGCAATGTACCCCCCCGTGGCGTGCACAAAGCAAGGAGGATCTCATGGAACAAGCAAGGGCTTCTACTACGCGCCACCTTTCTGTTAGAAAATGCAGCCTTCCACCGCTGCCGATGATGATCTGATCTCTATTACCAGCTTTTGCATTCCATGCGAGAGCCATCCTGGCACCATTCATATTCGGCTTGGGCCACAGACCTTCGAACACCATTCGCCCTGCATCCTGGCACTGGATCCGATACCACTCATTGTGGATTTAGCAGGCCATCGACACAACCAAGAAGCTCTTGAATTCGTTGCACCCTCGTGGTCGGGCTCTGCTGACCCAATGGCACATCCTGGTATACATTACGTAGCGTATTTTCCGAGAGTCGCATCACTAATATCTCGACTCGCTCGTCTCTCGGGGGCATCGCGTAAAGGCGCGAGCAATCATTAGAATCAGCATCGAGACCATTCAGGATCGACGAAAACGATGATGACCAATCTCCAACATGCACCGGACACGAACATAGACACAATGACCCTCGACGACCGTTCTATGACTGATGCGGCTCAAACCAAGGATCCCATCATGCTGGTAGAAGAATGTAACAGGGGGTGTACAAGACCAACCACAACTCATCATAAATTGTCCGTGCTTGTTTCACCTTGTAGAATGTGAAAGCCCATCGCTGTTGTGCGGAGCGCCACGCCAACTCACCACTTTTTCATCCGATGCGCAATTCATCGCGGGACCAATCGTACTCTGAACGTGCGAGACCGCGCCGAGAACCATTGATGCACTGTCCTGGGATTTGACCTCGGACTCGACAGATGGGGCCACATCTCCAAACAGGTTCCCTCGCAGAGCAGGGCTAAAGACTGGACACTGGACACCCCTGTGTGTCTGAGGTGCGAGAGCTGACGTTACCAAACATGTCCCCCCCAAAAAAGCGCGCCGGAAGGATCACCACACGTGCTTCAGCCCTGCCCGCTGCATAGTTCCACGTTTGAGACCGCGAAGCGTTGTGAAACACGAGCGGGGCGAGGAGCCTGCGAACAAAGCACAGTCTAGAAGAAAGAGACCACGTATGCATCAAGATCACGAACAAGCATCCGTCGAATCTGTGCGGTCTTCTCTATTTATAGCCAGAGAGCAAGCGGCTCAACTTCCCCAGCGGTCAAGGCTCATCCCCGCGCAGAGGCAGTCAATCGTGCGATCATCAGACCGCTGTGCAACGCACGTGCCACATCCGTCCTGGGATCGCGAGCCACACTTTGAGCCGCAGCTTGAGCCGCAAAGCCTGCGGACGCCTGCGCCGCGCAGACTGCACCACGGGCAAGTGCGCTGCCGGATCCTGCACGGGGCGGGCGACGGTGGCTTGCGAATCCCCATCCGGGATCTGTAGGGGAGCAAAAAGTGGCATAAACCTAAAAACTCGGAGGTCCGCGCGGATTTCTCGGATCGGCGCTGGACCCCCCTCGCTGGCGCGCGGAGCGCGCCAGGGGCGGCGCCGGAGGCGCCGCCGGGGGCCCCAGCGCCGATCCGAGAAACCCGCGCGGACCTCCGAGTTTTTATATTTATGTCACTCTTTGTTCCCCTCATGCTGTGCAAGCTGCGTGGTGCATCCTCGGCCGTGCGCGCTGTGCTGTGCGAGCCCTGCGGGCGCCCCCGGGGCGTCCACGCGCGGGCGGCCGCCCCCGCCCCCGGGCGCCCACGAGGCGCCTATACGGGCGGGCACCGGGCGCGAGAGCCCGGCAGGCCCACCCAGCGCACGGGGCGCCGGGCCGAGCCGGGAAGAGGAAGGATCGCCAGAGGCAGAAACGTTTGGCGCTCCGCGCAGATCTCTTGGGCGTGTTTCCTTCTCCCAGATTCGGGGGACAAAAAAGTGACATAAACATAAAAACTCTGAGGTCCGCGCGGATTTCTCGGATCGGCGCTAAGGCCCCCCGGCGGCGCCTCCGGCGCCGCCCCTGGCGCGCTCCGCGCGCCAGGGAGGGGGGTCCAGCGCCGATCCGAGAAATCCGCGCGGACGTCCGAGTTTTTAGGTTTATGTCACTCTTTGTTCCCCTTAGCATAGCCTGCACCACGCAGGCCTCACCACATACACTTCCCGAGACAGCGCTCACCACGTGGCCTGCACCCCGTGCCTTGCATTGCAGCTCGCACCGCGCAGCTGGCGCCACCTACAGCGGGTCACGTACCTCGCGTCACATCTGGTTGCGCCACGTGGCTTTTACCGTATCGCGAGCAGCAAACGGCTTGCAGCATGCACAGGGCGCACACCATAGTTTGCAACGCAAAGGTTCCATGTCGATGATGCAATCGTATATTTTTGGGGTCCACGATGGCTGACATGCATAGAAAAAGAGAGAGGGGAGAGGGAGAGAGAGAGAGAGGGAGAAATCAACAAATGATACATATATGTATAGGGAAAGAGACAGAGAGGTAAACGCAACATGAACCACAGAGGGAGAGAGAGAAAGACAGAGAAAGAACGAGACTGAGAGAGAGAGAGAGCGAGAGAGAATGAGAAGTACGACTCATCTCTCGAATACAACTGCCATGGCATAGTGTTAGCAAGACGGACCACTGGCATGTCTGACAAAGCTGCCTGACATTCACGAAGCCGTTCGGCCGTGGACCTGAGTCTGACAAGCATCTTCTTACCAAGAGCCCTCAGTTGTCTGACCCACCATGCAATGTATACAATTTAGCATTGCTTCTCTCAAATAAAGCCACCCTCTGAAACATGATGTCACTGCATCTCATCTGGTTGATTCGTTAGTCGTGCGATTGGCCGGTATATCTTCATGCGGTAGCGGATGAGGTATCCGCACCCGTGTCTCGAGGAACGTGGTGGAGTGCCCCAAGACTCATGCAGCCCTGAGAGGAAAAAGGTTTGTACGTACTGGGTTCTGAAAAGCTCCCGGTTTCCCAAACGCTCTTGGGCGTTCTTGGCGCTTCCGCGGTGTTCCGCGTAGGCCCCCAAACGGGCCTACATGTCCCCAAGAGGTCCCCGAAAGCGTTGAAGTGGGCCCCAAGTCTCCCCAAGATCGCTCCCAGATGCCCAAGATGGCCTCAAGACGGCTAAACCAAACATCCAAGATGCTCCAAGGGAGCACCAGGGATCCCCAAGAAGGCCCTGAGATGCCAAACTCCCATATGTTCCTCATAGTTTTTGAAGCATTGCAGCCTTCAGACCGTTTTCAGCTTCCAACGCTCCAAGACGGCCCCACAAAATACAATCACGCCCCAGGGGTGCCCAGGAGACCCCAGTAGGGCCCAAGACGTCCCAAGAGAAAGAGGCACCCAAGAGGGCACCCAAGAGGGGGGACACGAACGACCATGTCGAGCCTTCCGCCCCAAGAGGCCCCCAAGAAGACCCCACAAGCCCTCCAAGAGTCTGCCCCTCCTGTGCATCCAAGAGGCCTCTAAACCACAGCCCAAGCACGGTGGCGGAATGGGCCGACGGCCACTTGACCTGCTTGGCAAGGAGACGGAACGCGCCCGTGCTCTGTGAGGGCGCGAGATCGCTTACCCAGTGTCTTGACGCCCTCTTGGTGTTGAGACTTTGGTACGTCAGGCAAACAACTTATAATATTCGCGAAAATCTACGAATATGGCCTCTCTGGGCCACTTTGGGCCCTCTTTCTGCGCTCTCGGGCCCTCTTGGGGCCCTTTCGGGCCTCCATGAGACCGCCGGGGCGGTAGCTCGGGCGCTCTTGGGGCCGTCTTGGGGCCCTCGGAGGCGCTCTTGGGGCCGACTTCGGCCGCCTGGAGCCACAACACGACCGAACATTGTGCCACTCGAGCTGGACCCGCCGAAGCCAACTCTCCTCCCACTCCCGCTTGTTATTTCTCTCTGCCACCGGATCGCGACGCTACGCGCGCTTTCCGCCATCCGCCGCCCCCTGTGGCTTGCCACACGGGTGCATGGCATGCCACATGCTACGTCGCTTGTGGTTCTTATTGAAGGCGCCGAAAATGCCTTCGGCCCAACCTGCCAGCCACCAGGAAGGACGCGCAAGGGGGGGGAAAAGAGGAACAGCCGCCTCCAAGATGGCCACGATGTTTCCAAGATGGCTTCCAAGATGCCTCCATGACGGCTAAGATGGCCCCAAGAAAGCCCAACGACTGGCCCCAAGGCGCCTCCAAGACGACTACGCAATATGGCCCCAAGACGGCACAGTATCCCTCCACACGGCCAAAGATGCCCCCCCACACGCCCCAAGAGGGCTCCAAGAGGACCTCAATAAGAAGGGCGGAATCGCTGATTGCCCGTGGGTTTTCAATAATGTTAACTTTTTCTCGCCGTTTCGGGCCTCCGACGCTCCAGGGCGTCCCCGGTATGCACCCCCAAGATCGCCCCACGACGGCTCAAGAGGTCCCGAAGAGGCTCGCAGGACGGCACAAGAGAGCCCCAGACGGCCCAAGAGGCCCCCAAGACGGCCGCATGGACCCCCAAGGCGGCCCCCAAGCGCCCAAAGAGCGACCCATGAATGCCCAGAGAGGAAGCCAAGACGGCCTCCGAAGGCCGAGGGGCTCCCCAGAGGCCCCCGAAAAGATCCCCAGGAGACCCCAAGAAGCTCCCCGAGAGGCCCCGGCAGGCCCCCAAGACGCCGCCAGGAGGACCCAACGAGGGCCTCAGGAGGCCTCCTCTTCGTCCGCCTCCCCCTTTTCAGGCTCCTTCAGGCTGCGGGGAACGTCTGCCTCCAGATGAAAACCCGACTCTCAGGAGAGGAAACACCTCAATGGAGAAGATTTCGATTGCGAGGCGGAACTCGACCCACCGCTCGCTGGATGGATCCTTGGACAGCAGCTCAAGAGTCTCGCTGGCGCCCTTGTTGCGAGGAGCGCCGCGGCACGGCTCTCCCAACAAGCGAAGCCTCGACGAGCCGAAAGCCGCGCACGACGAGCACTGGGCGAGCGAACTCCCCATCAACCACAGCCTGTGCGTCCCATGCGCAAGCCAGGCTAGACGGGGGAGGCCCGTACAACAGCAGACGGCCTTCTCCGAGAGGCCGCGGCCGGTGTGCAGATGAAAGCCTTACCCGCCTTGCCAACCTTCTTCAGAACATGATCCTGAGGGTCGGGGATCGGGGACCAGGAGCAGAGGGTCGAACATAGGTCGGCGGGCTTTCTTCACATGCTGGACGTCTCGAACATCAGGCCTGCCGAGGTGCCGTCCTGATGCGGGCCACCGAGTCGCGGCTGTCTGCACGCCTCTGCTCCAGGGAAGGGTGGGACGGATGATCCTTGGCAGCGCTGGGCCAGCTTGTCCTCCTCCTCCTCCTTCTCCTCCTCCTCCTCCTCTCTTCTTCTTCTTCTTCCTCCTCCTCCTCCTCCTCCTCCTCCTCCTCCTCCTCCTCGGGACTCATTGTGCGGGCCTCTGGACCTGGAGATCTTTGGAGGCCTCTTCAGGCTCTGGGGCGGCAGCGAGCATGCCACAGCCCATTCCTCGAGCCTCTGCCTCTCCGGCGGCGCGCAGTGGGGGGTATAGGGGGAGGGAGGACGGCTTCTTTGAAGGGGGCTGCTTCTTAAGAAGGCGCCGGCCTTCTATGAAGCAAGGGTGCTTCTACGAAGTCCCCCCCCGCCTGGCCATCGCTCGGACGTCCATTTCCTGTTGTTTTTTCGGTTTCGTGCGTGGTTTTTTCGCCCAATGATCAAGGATGCTCCTCGATGGCCCTCGCCGAGGAAAAAAACGCACACGTCCGAGCGATGCCAGGCCCCTCCCCCTACCCCCCTCTGCGCGTGGCCGATCGACTTCTCCTCTCGATGGGCCCGTCCGCCGAGACCACCCGACGGTGACGATGCTCGGCAGCGACTGCGCAGAAGAGCTCCACCAAGGAAGAAGCTGCCCGACGGGGTCGCGCGAAGCCGGCGCGGCAGGCCCGCAGGCCGGGTCCCAGGTTGGAAGCCCTGGGCCACGGAGGTGGCGACAACTTTGCAGAGCCGAGCTGGGCGGGGCGTGCGTGAGGGGCAACGCCGAGCTGGGCGGGGCTTTGCGCCACCGCCGGGTGAGGCACCCGGCGTGGTGGGGCCGCCAGGGGAAAAGGAGGGGAGGAGGAGGAGGAGGAGGAGGAGGAGGAGGAGGAGGAGGAGGAGGAGGAGTCCGTAGCCATTTTGGCTCAAGGGGCCTGCTCCTTAACTTCCCAACCTCAGCTCGAGGAGCCAAGTGTGCTGTGCGGGGGGCCACGGCCTCACCCTTCGGGCGGCGTGCGGGGGCGCGCTATGCCAGCGCATGGTTCTCGTGCTGGGAATTGGTGTTGTGGGGCATGCGGGTGCAAAGCGAACAAGCACTGGTACACGTGGTGCAAGCACTGCGGGCGCCAGTGGTCAGGAGTCGGGGAATACCAAGATCACCAGTCTGGGGCCAAGGGAGGGTGGGGTGCACGTCAGTCCGCTCTTCCTGGTGCTGGGGATCCTGTCTCTGCTCCTGGGGCTTGGTCAGCTTCTAACTATCGTTCGTCAGGGATTCCAGGAAGTTCCAAGGGCGAACTCAATTCTGTCATACAGCTCCTTGAGGCCAATTCTGACTTCGAGGCAGCCAGCAAGTATCGTGAGAAGCTTCGTGCCCTCGAGCAGCCGCCCAAGCTGCAGTGGGGGCCCGCGAAGCAGGAGATGGAGAGGTGCCAGGCCGCGTTGGATCGTGCAGTCAGTAAAGCCACTAACTTGCAGGAGTTTCTCGAGCAAGCGAAGAAAGACAGTGCCAACGCGTTCGTGGCCCTCGAGAGGGCCAAAGAGCAGTACGCCACAGCAGTCAGGGAGCTCGCCTCGTCGGTCCAGCAGCCCCAGTAACCCCAGCAGCCCCCTCAGCCTGCCAAGCCTGTACTATCCCTGGAATCTCTCATGGACGGGTGTCTTGAGGGCGTTCAGTTGGATGACGGCGGCCTATTTGGGCTGGAGGAGGCAGGGTGGGAGCCATCGGCTGAGGAGGTGGAGGAGGCTAAGAAGAGGAAGGAGCACCTGGCTAAGATATTTAAGGAGGCAGCGCTGCAGGCATTTGGGCCCTTTCGAGAGCAGGCCAAGGAGGCCATCACTCAGCAAAAGGAACTCAAAGCCAGGCGCGCGGCTAAGAAGCGTCGTACGGATGAGGGGTCGACTGCTGGCGGTGGTGACGGCGTTGCACCTGGGGGCTCTGTTGGGCAGCAGCAGCAGCAGCAGCGCCAGCAGCCAGCTCAGCCAGCCTCAGCAGCCGAAGCAGCAGCAGCAGCAGCAGCACCTCAGCCAGCAGCAGCAGGCAACACGTCCCCCGACTCGTGCCCTGGGCCTCCCCCCAAATCAACAGAGGAATTGCTTGCGGCAGCCAAGGCTGCAGCCAGCAAGGGGGGGGTCAAGGGACGTAAGGGAGGTGGAGCTGCGACTGCAGGGGGAGGAGGCAGCAGCGGAGGTTTGGCGCCCGCAACAATGCAGGCGGCTCAGAGTACAGGAGCGCGAGGGTAGCAGGGTCGGGCGTTCTCGGCCCGATGTGTTCACGGTCCTGACGGCCAACACCTCAGAGTGGTGCAGCTGTCAGAAGTTCTTCGAGAAGGAGGTGGCAGGTGCTGCCGTTGTTTTGTTTCAGGAAGTAGGAGTACACCCCTCCGCCAAGGATGAGAAGGAGGCTAAGGTGAAGAGCTGGTCTTGGTCAGCCATGCTTAGTCCTAGCCGTATCACTGAGGCGGGGGGGTTGTCAGCAGGTGTAGGCATCGCTGTTCCAGCTCATGTCGGGATGTCGGCCGCGCCGTGGGAAGGTAAGCCATTGCCCTCTGCGCCGAGAGTCTCGATGGCATGGGTTAACAGTATTATTCCAGGGGGGGTCCTAGCTGTCTCGCTGCATTTGCCTACAGGGGACCCCCTGGGAGATGTCGGTTCGCAGATATTGTTCAGGCTGGGGGAAGTGCTTCACTCTTTGCGTCTGCCTTACGTGGTAGGCGGAGACTGGAACTGCCCACCGTCGCAGCTCAGAACGTTCGGCTGGGTTAGCAAGGTGGGAGGACACATTGCAGCATGCGGGTCAGCCACGTGCAGGAAAGGACATGTTTGGAGGGAGCTGGACTATTTCGCGGTCTCGTCAGGTCTTGCCCCTTCGATCGAGAGAGTTGAGCGTGTGCAGGATTCGTGTCTTTCACCTCACTACCCTGTGGCCTTGCGGTTGAGATCACATCTTGTGCGTACTGAGTACCTGGCGATGGCAGGCCCCAGGAGATTCCCAGCCCAGGCTCCGCAGTTGCCTCTGCCTGCCCCGCCTGACTGGGGGCCCATTGAGGAGGTTTTGCTTCACTGGGGAGAAGGGGAGTCTTCGTTGAGCGAGCGCTGTGGGCAAGTAGCATTGGATCGAGTGTGCCAGATGTTCTTTGATCTCGTGGAGACGGAGCTTATTTCTGTGCATGGGATCCAGGGCCCAGATGAGAGGAAGTATCGTGGTCGAGGACAAGGGTGGAAGTTGCGCAGGGTGCATGAGCTGCAGACATCAGGAGGCCCGTATGCTCTATCTTGTGCCAAGGCTCGTGGTTGGAGGAAGGTCTCGATTCGCTTTCAGGAATTGGCATACATTGTTCGTCGCGCTGAAGGTGTGTTCCCGCAGCATTGTTTGTCACTGATATCCAAGATCATGGGCAGTCGGCCGCCTGACGAAGAGGTGGACTTCTGGAGACGTTGGTGTCCATCTTTCGAAGGAATTCTGGCTCTGCCAGACGGGCAGCTGGATGAGTATTCGAGAGAGGCAGCCTACTTCGCATCTTTGCTGGAGCAGGCCTTTGCAAGGGCCAGAGGCACAGCTTGGAGGAGGTGGGTTGCTGAAGCATGTGAGCACGGAGCGGGTAAAGCCCACCGATTCACGAAATCGCCTGTGGGATGGAAGCCTTCCGCGCCTGGACCTGACGGGGCTCCCTTGGGGCTCGGTGAGCAAGTTGAGAGGTTACAGCATGAGTGGAGTGAGATCTGGGGAGCATCGGCGCCCGTCGAGGATGCGGGCGTGGAGACGGCCAGCGGCAAGATCGACCCTCTCAAGTGCCTGTCCATCATGCTGGAGAGGGGGGGCTTTGACCCGCAGGAGGCCGCCAGCATCCCGCCCTTCGACTGCCGCACCATCCGCAGGGTGGCCAGGACTTTCAAGGAGCGGACGGCAGTCGGGGCCGACAGGTTGAGCCCTCGTGACCTGATGTATCTGTCGGACCGCGGCCTCACAGTATTGGGGTTACTTTGGCATTTGATGCTGGACACGGGCAGGCTCCCCTCCCAGGTTTCATTGATCATGATTGCAATGCTCGAGAAGCCCGAGGGCGGATTTCGGCCCATTGGTCTCCTGCCCACCGTGGTGAGAGTGTGGGGACGCTGTGCCAGATCTGTCGCTCGTGAGTGGGAGATGAAGCATAAGCGTGATTTCTTTTATGGTAGCACAGGCATGTCGTGCGAACGTGGAGTCTGGGAGCAGGCCTTCACTGCAGAGCATGCGCGGATTACGAACACATGTGCAGGGGCGGGCCTGCTCGATTTGTCCAAGGCGTACGAGAGAGTGATGCATGGACATTTGGTCGATGCGGCCCAGATGACGAAGTTCCCATTGGATATACTCCGATTGCTGCTGCGTGTATACCGTTGTCCTCGTCTCCTCGCGGTAGGCCTGGTAGCATCAGCGCCTGTCATGTCGGAGCAGGCGATTGTTGCAGGGTGCACGTTCGCCACTACGCTTCTGAAGGTGTTATTGATTCGCATGTTGGACTGTGTGAAGGAGGAATTTCCTTTCGCGCGTGTGTACAACGTGGTGGACGATATCACGGTACGCGTTCGTGGTAACAGGAAGTTTGTGCGTGACATGCTGCCAGTTGTCGTCGGCTTCACCTGCAGGAAGCTCGAGGAGTTGGACCTTGTTCTGGCCAGGGCTAAAGGAAAAAATCGTGTCGATCCACCCTGATGTCGTCAAAAGTTCTGAGCGAGCCCTGGCCAGGTGGGGGTTCACTGGAGCCTCGGTGGCGAGGAATCTCGGGGTGGATTTCACTAGATTTCACTATGGGAAAGACCCGCAGGAATCCCGTGCAGAAGGCCCGAGTGGCCAAGCTCAAGCGTAGGGCCCACAGGTTCCGAGGGTTGAGATCGTCGTTCAAGATGTTGACCAGGATCGTGCGCGCAGGAGCCAATCCAGCAGGACTCTACGGGGCCTCGGTCACAGGGGTGTCGGACAGATCCCTCCAGCAGCTGCGCTCGGTGGCGGGCGAGGCGGTGTTCGGGCAGGCCAAGGGCAGGAGTCGCACGATTGGCTTCATGCTGTCGCCGACGCCGCAGGCCGACCCAGCGTATGTTGCTAACTCCGCCCCCTGATGTCTTGGGCTAACGCTGTGCATCTGGGCTGGGCTCCGCGCAATGAGATGAAGGTCGTGTTCGAGGGCATTCGTCAGACGGTTCATGGTTGGCGGCAAGTCACAGGCCCTGCGGGGGCCACGCTGATGACCTTGGGGCGTCTTGGGTGGCTACCTTGTAGTTGGGACTGCTGGGAAACGGACACTGGGCTCTGTCTGGACCTGCAGGCGTATGGGAGTCGGACGGTGAAAACGATCGTGGATTCTGGCACGAAGGACATGCTCCTTCGCGACCTGACGATTAGTGATGAGGCTGTAGGATGTGACGCCCCCTTCCGCCCCTGCCATGAACCGTTGCATGAGGTGTGCCAAGATTTCCGCGCCTCTGGTAAGGGCCTGGAAGCCTCTCTCCTTGCCGCAGTGGCATCGGGAGGCATGGCGGCTCAGGTGGACCTTTTCCTGGACAGGCGCTCTGCATCCGCTGAGTGTCAGGTTTGTGGGCACCCTTGGGGGTGCAAGAAGCATCGGTGCTATGTCTGCCCTGCTTTCCATGGGCACCGTCAGACCCTTGGGTTTCAGCGTCTCGTCCAAGCGGGGTCCTCGGCCACGGAACCGCGATGGCGTTTGTTTTACACTCGAGGGCTGATGGCGTCACCTATCAGTCACACTCCCAGCCCGATCGTTCAGCAAGAATGGCAGTGGCATGTTTTCCCTAGGCACGGATTTCTGGAAGGAATAATCTGCGTGGATGGATCTGCCATCGACCCTGGGCTGCCGTGGTGTACACGAGCTGGCTGGGCGGCAGTTTCAGTAGATAGGCAAGGGACCATCCTGGGGAGTCTTTATGGCCCCCTCCCACACCCGCTTCAGTCCAACCTCGGCGGAGAGTTGTGGGCTCTCAGGATGGCTCTGAGGCTAGCAGAGGCTGGCCCTTTAGAGATCTGGACGGATTGCAAGGTTTTAATGGACGTATGGAGCTTTGGCCCAGACCAAGATGTTTCGAGGTTGGCGTTTTCTGAGGTCTGGATTGAGGTCTTGGCCAAAGCTCGAGATATTGGATGGAGCAACATCCAGCTGTGCAAGATCAAGTCTCACCTCTCGTACGGTGAAGCTGTTTCAAGAAATCTTCCTTTCTATGCCTGGCGGGGCAATCGAGAAGCCGACCGCCTTGCGCGTGAAGGGACCTTGCTTCAGGCTCAGCCAGAGCCTGCGAGGAGCTGGTACAGGACGGTCGCCCCAGGCATTTTGCAGGTGGGGAGATTTCTCGGGCTGATGTTGGGGGAGGTCTCGAGGCATGGGCTCAAGGATGTGGAGCGCTATCGGGCGCCCAAGTCCAAGAGGCCCGCCAGGGACACCCCACAGCTCCAATTAGTTGCTGACCCCAACGGACACACGATCTGTAGAGTGGGGAAGAGTTTTATTTGTGAGGAGTGCGGGACGAAGGCGAGGTCCAGAGGAGCCCTCGCCGCCTTCCCGTGCCGTGGCATACCTGCCATCGCCGCATCTGCCCACCGCTCCCACGTTCTCTGGATGGGGTCTGGTCCGTCGGGGACTGTGGTGTGGTGTCGGAAATGCGCGGCGTTCGGGGTTGCCCGCAGTCGGTACCTGAAAGACCCGTGTCACGAGCGCCCGCGTAATTCGGCTGCTGAGAAGTCCTTGGCCATGCTGATCGCAGGCAAGGACACCAGCTCCCGTGCGGTGTTCGGACGGAGCGTCCAGGTGCCCCAAGGGAGGTAAGGTCTTCTCTTGTGGTTTTTGCTAGGATTCTTGCGACTGTGCGGGGGTCCTATGCAGCGTTCAACTGCGTTCAACAGGAGGAGGAGGAGGAGGAGGAGGAGGAGGAGGAGGAGGAGGAGGAAGAGGAGGAGGGCGGCTGGGCGGAGCGTGCGGGGGGGGGACTGGCACAACTAGGGGGGATGCATCGACCTGGAGTTGGCGATGCATCGCCGATAGATCGGCGACGGGCCTCCGGTAGTGAAACCGCACCTTCCTTGGCAGGTTGGGGCTATCATACCCTTATCGACGATGCGAGTGGGGGTCGATGCATCCCCCCTTATGCCTATCCCCCCCCATCGTTGCCCCCGAAGGGAAGGGCGTAGCGCCCCAACTCGAGACCGGTGCTTTGGATATGAGCCTCGGGGGGATCCAAGCGTCGCTCTCTGGAGGGTCGAGGGCTGTGCCGTTTCAAGCTGTCGCCCCTCCCTGCGAGCGCAGGACAGAAATCATTCGGGAGCCTCCCGTTCCTTCGAGCGTTCTGTCCACGCGGGGGCGGAGGCGAAATGAAGTCTTGACTCCCCTCGGAGTATCCTGCCCCTCGCCTCGCCCTCGAGGAGGTGCAGGCAGACATGATGGGAAGGAGCAATCCCAGTCCAAGATCCATCAGCAAAGGGGTTCGTCCCCTTCGATTCGATCTCAGGAGGGGAATGATGATGAGGAGGAGGAGGAGGAGGACACATTTATCTGGGCGTGGGCAGACGCCTAGCCTCAACTCCCTTGAATGTCGAAGGAGCGACGACAGGGCCCAGGAAGGTCCGAAAACACGGGGCTAGGGAATGCATGAATGAATCAGCCCATGGAATCCTGCCAGCTGAGATCAGCCTGGAACGCGGCAATGCCAGAACAAAAAGTCGACAGACTCGCCACTAAGAGAGAATTCTAAGTCGGTCGGAGGAGGAGGAGGCGGAGGAAGTGCGGATGGAAAGGACGGTGAGCAATGATCCCAATCCAAGATGAATATGAACAGGACTGGTACTGAGGCTTACTGTGGGCGTAGGGCAACTCCTCGTTGCGTGTGGATTTTGCAGGGGCGCCCTCCAACACACAGGGGCCTCTCGCCCAAGGCGGCGGTGCTCCAACAACCCCGCCCGTATCGTTCAAGCACGTCCGCGCCTGCAAAGCCTGCAAAGACGGGCACAGGAGGTCGGACGGTGCCGCGCTGCCCATTGCCACCAAAAATTTGCAAAACGTGTCCGCCATCCGGAGACACCGTAAACAAAACAGAAATTGGTGGCCCTCTTGGCGCGAGCGCAACTGGTGCTGCAGGAAATAGGGGCAACCTTTTCATCCCGAGAAGTGTTTGATGGTCATGCGGCCTGGGGAGAGCCCGTGGAGCCCGAAAGCGCCAGATCAAATATCCAGCAACCCTGTCCTCCGAGAGCCATTATCCTCATGTCCGGGTCGGTGAAGTATGAGGATCGCGCTGTATCGTCAATCGATGCATCGACGATACGACGGCGATGCATCGGTGGTGCACCGGAGGCGTCGGCGATTCATCGGCGATGCGGCGCGATCCACTCACCCCATCATTTTTGCCCCCATCTGGCCGATCGTGGAGGCCCTGAACCAAAACATGTTGCCATCCGCCGCCCTCTCCGCGGGGGAAGAGATGTCAACTCCTGCGATCCTCGAAGGCGAAATCCTCTCTGGAACGCCTGATCTAGGAGGCCCCAAGTCCGTCGGGCGGGTGGTAACGGGGGGTGACCTAAGCGGGGGTGAGCAGGAAAACCCTAGAAGGAGCCAGTTCGGGCTTTGGAACCAGCAGGGGCCCAAAGAGGCCCTCAGGGGCTCCCTTAAGGTCCTGTTTCCCACCCCCATTACCACCCGTCCAAATCCTGGCGACCCTGCAGATCGGGAGCCGCCCGAGCCAGGCGCCGAAGTTCTGGAAGAAACCCTTGCCTGGAGGCGGGCGCGCGGCGGGCGTGTGGGCCGAGAGCGCAGCCGCAGCGGCGAGGCACGGCGTGCGCATCCCCACGCGAGGCGAACAAGGGAGGTGGGCGATGGTTCGACATTGTTTCTTCGCTGCCCCGATGCGCAACACGCAACCCGTAGCGTGCTGCCACGGGGCCCAACGCGGGCTCTGGAAACGTGCGTTTGGCGCGACACGCTCGGCAGAATGTGGGCCAGCACGTTAAGCCAACGCGCGACGTGTCAACACGGACGCGTTGAACACGGTACGTGTTGCGTCGCGAAACGGGCGTCTCAATGCAACTCAATTGGAAGCGGTAAATTCACACTCTTCCATTGAAGGAGCTATTTGCTGAACGAAACAAGCCTTCTAGTAGAAGTGTTGTTGCTCAGTTGCGCGACGACCGCGGCGGCGCGTCCGAATTGCCGAGACGCGTCCTGCGCTCGAGCCCTGAATCTTCTGTCAAGGAGCATCTACAACTCGCTGAAAACATGTCCAAGGGTCGCCGCGACCCGATGCAACGCGACTGTGGTTACTCGAACAAATGCATCGCGGGGTGAACCGGCAGGCAAGACAAGGGCCCCCCCGCCCCCCGACCAGGCCTTGGCCCCGCATCGCCACCGCATCCCCAGGGTTTTAGTAAGGCAGACCGCGGACTTTACGAAAGCGAAGAAGTGGCTTTACTAAAGCGAACAAGCGGCTTTACTACAGCGAGAAAGCGGCTCTACTAAAGCGAGGAAGCGGGTTTAATAAAGGCGCGCCGCTCGATACATTCCGAAAACAACTACGTTTTACTAGAGCGAAAGGAGAACTTTGTAGTACAGCGGAAGAGCGGCTGGGGTAAGCGTGCGCGCAACAATTTCGCTTCGCCCATGAAATCTGGCCCGGGCTCCAGGAGCGGGGGCGCAAGTTCGCCCGTGGGCCACGGTCCCGTCGCCGCCGTCGCCGTGATGTTCGTCGTCGCCGCCGTCGCCGTTGCCGCCGTCGTCGTCACCGTCGTCGCAGGCGCCGCCGTTGTCGTCGCCACGACGCCCGCGCATTCACGTTATTACCAGCGGCGGGTCGCGCGCGACCGCGCGCGCCACTGCGCTCGCATCTCCGCTCGTCCGACGGGGGCCCACGCAGACATCCTGAATGTTGTTGTGTTCGCAACTCGTTTAAAGTGATAGTGGGAGAAAACCTCTGAAACTAAGCACGACGTATGAACGACGAACAGAAACTGGTTTTGACCTAGATGGCATGGCGACCTTACGCGGTGGATTACGCGGGCCGCCAGCGAGGCAGACCACATCAAAAACGAGGGCACTTCCGCGCGTCCTTGCGTGGGACGCTTATGCGCCAACATCAGCGAAAACAGCCCCTTTTTTCACGGCGTCGCTCATATGCCAGGTTGAAAGAAGTCTGAACCAGAAAGATTGGCCATCTCTGCGGAGGCCAATATTGACTGCCGCCAGCTTCCGCCGGTCGTCCGCCACCTTCCGCCGGCGGAAATCGCCTCGTTGTGCTTCCACCGCCTTCCACCGAGGAAGAGATATCAACTCCTTCGACCCTCGAAGGCGAAGACCTTTTTGGAACGGCCCATATCCACCATCGTGCTGTAGGCACTGAATAATGTCCTCGGGCCCCGCTTATCATCCCCAACGTCAAATGCTTTCAAGATCCTCGCAGGAACCCAGGACAAGACCCAAGAGCTCCCGGGGAGGGAGGGGGGTGGTCTTACCTGTACATCGTTCTGCTGCTCCTGTTCCTCCCTCCTCCTCCTCCCAACCACTACGTACGGTGTGGCACAAATCGATAAGGAATCCAGGGAAACACCAACTGAAGCTTGACCATGGATATCATCGTCGCCCTCATTCGAAAAGGAACCATCCAGGGTTCGAAGCCTAATGGGCACGTTCCTTCCCCGAACGTCCCCACCGTACGGCGCAGCGACGTCAGGGGCCTTTGCCCTTGCTGGACTCTGCGTTCCAATTGTACGACTTGCACTCCACGACCTGCGCGGGGAAACGGAGCATCCGCCCCGCTCTAAAAGAGGTGCCCGCCTCCTTGCCTGCCTAGGGGGGGCGGGGAAGGGAAGGACGACGAGGCGGGGGAGGAGCAGGAGGGGGAAGAGGTGGAGGACGAGTGTTTTGTGCGTTATTCGTTTCTCTTATGTTTGATCTCTCTCTCTATATATATACACTCTCTTTATCTCTCTTTTTCTCTGGCTTTTCCTATCTCTATAGAGTATGTGTGTTGCTCATGTTTGTTATCACTCTCTCTCTCTCTTTCCCTTCACTCTCTCTGTCTTTGTTGTTGCTCTCTCTCTCTCTCTTCCCCCCTTCCCGCCTGGTTCTCTCTCATTCTCGTCTGGTATGATACTGATATACACATGTTTTTTCTCGTCTCGCTCTATATAAATCTCTGTCTCTCTCTCTCTCTCTCTTTTCCTCCTCCGAACCTCTCTACGTGGGGATATTCGCCACCGTGCCCGAGGACTCGTTGAGGAGCCCGGACCCCGAGTTGCCAAATCTTCTGGGGCTTCCCGCAGCTTCCTGCATTGTTTTTTCGGTCCCAGGAAGGCCCCTACAAGGGCCAAGAGCGTCACAGGAGGCCCCCGAAACGGTCCAAGAGGGCTCCGAATCGCCACGCGATGGGTCTGGCCAGGATGGCCCCGACACGGCCTAAGGCGCCCACAGCTCCAACAGCCTTCCCAAGAGGGCCCCGAGAGGCGAAAATCATTGATTTCTCTTTGGTTAAAAATTTGTTTTGGATCCTCGACTGTTCCAGCCTCCGACGCTCCAAGATGGCCCAAGGTGTCCCGAAGACCGCCCCAAGAGGCCCCCAAAAGGGCACCAAGACGGCCTAGGGGAGCCCAAAGACAGCCCCGAGACGGGCCTAAGAGGGGGAACGCGAACCGAAAAACTCAGCCGTCCGCCCCAAACGGCCCCCAGGAGGCCCGAAGGTGGCCGCAAGATGCACCATGATGCCCCCAAGGCGGCCCACGAGGCCCCAAACAGACTCCAAGAGTCCTAACATGGTCCCAGAGAAGCCCCCGAGAGGCCTTGCACGACATCCCAGCGAACTTCCCAGAGGGCTGTGACCCACAACCCATGCACGGTGGCGGGATGGGCCGAAGGCCATTCGAATTGCTTGGCGCGGGGACGGAAAAAACGCTTGCTCAATGTCTTGGAGCCCTCTTGATGTTAAGACTTCGGTACGTCATACATAAAACTGACAACACACCTGGCGACCATCAATGAATATTGCCTCTCTGGGCCGTGTTGGGTGTCCTTCTGGGGCTCCTTTGGGCCGTCGTGGGGCCCTCTTGGGTCGTCCTATGGTCCTCTTGGGCCGCCTTGGGGGGGGGCATTTTTTTTGGGGGGGGGCTCAAGGCGCACGCGTCTGCCGAGAAACGAGAAACATACTTCTCTCACGCGTACGTCCAGACAACACACGCGGTCTACAGCAGCAAAGGCCGTGAGAAAGCTAGAACGCCCTTGGCTCCAAGAGCCGACGGCAAGACACAATGGAGGGGGGAAATCAGTCCCTTGCACTGGCATCCTGGAGCATGGACCCCCGTTCGGGCCTGCTGCGGAAGCTTCTGCGGGCCCCTGGGGACCTCCAGAGGCCTCCAGGGACCTCCAGGCATCTTTGGAGATCACCGACATCGCGAGGACCACGAGAAACAGGGGGAGAGAGGACGAGAAGAGAGTAGAGGATGAGAAGACACGAGCCCAACATGCTCAGAGTTAGAGAGTTACCAGACGTCGAAGAGTCGAAGAAGCCAGAACGCTTCAAATTCGAAAACGGCTTGGACTTGATGTTGAACTTCTCGAAGCCCTGCTTCTGGCCGTTGCCGACATTCCTACTTTTCTCGACGAACACTTGTGCTATTTGGGACCGCTCCGCCAATGCCCTGGAACTCCTCCCCGTCATGCGGGTAGGCGCGAGCCGATATAACGCAAGCTAGATTCGAGAAGAGCTGCGCCATGCGGAACGCCGCAATCGGATTTGTACTTGGGCAACAGTTATCATTCCTGTACGTCGCCAATTGCACCGGATAGTCTGTGAAGAACCAAGAAACAACTTCTGCCTTATGGATGTGACTCTTGCTGACTAGCTTGGTACCGAGCACTTCGCGGTACAGTGGCTCCAACGGCGCTCCTCGATCATCGCGTCGGCTACCCCACTGGCCTAGGATAGCAAGATTCTCCACGTGTGTCCCCTGCTTCGCCACGCTAATGCCGAAGTTCAAGGCCCGCGCATACCCTGGGGGCACGCATCGGTTTTGAACTCGTCTGCAAGATTCGGGGTAGTTCTCCAGATTCGCATGCGAATGATCCCAGATCTCGTCACACTAACCATCGTACATACGGAGGTGCCCATGATAATCAAAGAACTCATAGGCCTCTGACAAATAGAAGACGACGAAGTCGCCAAGATCTCTGCACTTCCGCATCAGGGAACAAAACAATGAGCACCACAATGAGAGGCTTCTGGCCACGTGCCACTGTGGCGGTGACATCGTCTAGCAAGGCATTTGCGTGTTCATCCGGATCCAAATTGTCCTTGGACACGTAAGCATCATTGGCCCCGTAATCGCGCAATGCCTCGCCCAATGTGAGTATGACTGGGTCATACATAAACTTCATGTTTAACGCTTTTAGCGCGCATGATCCAAATCCACGCGTTCTTTGGAGCGGCCGTCGGCCACTTATCTGGCCCTGGTACCCCCGTCGGCACGGATGACAAATACTCAACATTCACCGCTGCTGAAATTCTCAGCTTTGCATGCACGAGCAAGACGAGCACATGATTTGATGCCATCTGCATCTGAAGACCCGTCGCCGGGGGAACAACTTAACGTAGCAGCGTACGTGAACCAATGTGCTTTGAGAGCCCAAACGGCGTGAGCCAAAGTTGCTTGAGTGAAAATGGCTACGGACTTTGGGGGGGGGCGTCTTGAGGCCCTCTTGGGGACCTGAGGCCCTATCGATGTGTATGTATGCGATGTTACATCGGTGTTAGAACGATGTGCAGGGACCCACGGGGATACCGCTGGGTTTCCCAAACAAGTCCAACCTACAAGGAGCCTTGGTGTTAAGAGCTTGCTACTTCACTGCTCTCTGTTGGGAACCCTGGTGTTCAAGGGCTTTCACGTTGCCGCTCGCTCTTGGGAACCCTGCTATTCAGAACTTGTTACGTCACCGCGCTCTGGGGAACCGTGGTGTTCAAAGCTTGTTACGTTTCCGCTCGCTGTTGGGAGCCATGGTATTACTTCGCGTCTCTAAAGCTCCTTGGGGTCTGTTGGGAGCCGTTTGGGTGCCCTGTTGGGTTGTCTTGGGGGGCTCCTTGGAGCCTCTTGGAACGACTTTTGAAAGCCTCTTGGGGACTCTGGGGACCTCCAGGGGCGGACGGCTTCAAATGTCCGTTCGGGGACCCCCTCTGGGCCCCTTCTTGTGGCGTCCTAAGTCCCTCTTCGGCTGTCTTGTGGCCCTCTTGGGCCGTCTTGGAACCCTCTTGGGAGCCTTATCGGCCGTCTCGTGGCGATCTTGGGGGCCTTTCGGGCCGTCTTGGACGCTCTGAAAGCCCACGAAGAGAATATGTTAAAGAGATTCGTTTTCCAGAGGGAATGGGGACATGTTTGCCCCTTGGGACTCTCTGTGCAGCCCTCCTGGGGGCCATTTCGGGCGTCTTGGGGTCATCTTGGCGGGGCTGGAGGCATCTCAAAGGCCATCTTGGACTATCTTGGCCGTCTTGGCGAACATCTAAATCGTCTTGGCGCGGGTAAGCGAGCTCCGGGAACCCTGGCACCGCCATGGGGGCATGCGCCTGCTCCTCCCCCTGGCCTGGTACGCCGCGTCTCTCTCTCTCTCTCTCTTTCTCTCTCTCTCTCTCTATATATGCATATATAGCACATGCATACATATATATATATATGTATATATATATATATATATGCTCAGCCCCCCCCCAGCAGCCCCCCTCCAGGGCTCATCCTCGTCATCCCCATCGCACGTTTCATCATCATCTGCATGCTCATGAGGACCAGGATGAAGATGGTGATGCTGATGACGATGATGAGGAGGGGGATGAGGAGGCTGATGATGATAAGGAGGAGGACGAGGAGGAGGACGCGGATGAGGAGTAGTACGATGAGGAGAAGGGTGAGATGAGGGAGAGGATGATGAGGAAGTGCAGGATAAGGATGATGATGATGATAAGACTGCTGGCGATGATGACGATGATGATGATGATGCTAAATATGATGATGATGATGATGATGATGATGATGATGATGATGTTGAAGATAAGGAGGAAGGAGGAAGAGACGGAGAACGATGCGGAGGAGGATGCGTAGGATTATGCGGAGGGGGAGGATGGGGAGGAGCTTATTCGCTGATGGCGTCATTACCATTCGGCGAAGGGGCCTGTGTGTTTGATCTACGTTCTTGAGGCCATGCTTCGACTGTACCCGTGGATAGTTTCTTGTCTCAACTATCTTGCTCTTCTTCCTCCTCCTGCTCCCTCTTCCTCGCGTCTCTCCTCCTCATCTCTCGTCCTCATCTCTCCTCCTCTCGAGGCGACTGATGTTTGAACCTAAACGCGCGCGGCATCACTGGCGGCGGGGGGAAGCGAGAGGGGTGGGATGGGGGCGGCATTCGGGGCGATCGCAAGCAGAACGAAAAGAGTGGACAACGCCTGCCCGCCAGAAGAAATGGATTCACGGTCGCCTCAAAAAAGCAAATTTTCCTGCCGAGCTCCGAACACGTGCACTTCAAGCTTTCATCACATAACCGATATATAAATGTGCGGGGCAAACGCAATGCCCCCACACCCCGCCCGCGCCTCAGAGACGGCGGCGCGCCGACGCGCGCAGGCCGAACGACGGGCCCACGTGCATTCGGTTGGAGGGCTGGTCGTCGTCGGCATCGAACAACAGATCGCGGTGGCGGGGAAACGAACGCGACGCCATCACCATCCTCTCCATGAACCCCCAAGTTGTCGACCACGGCACCTCCGACATATGGGTCCATCCTGGGAAATCGCGGCACGTGAACGTCACAATGCTCGTGCGGTCCTCAGTGCCCACCGCAGGGCGACATCGCGCATCGCAGACGTGCCAGCCACTATCCGCTGCAGATCGATCGGGCCGATCGCAACGGGCATCGTCGATCTGCAACTGACCGCGTCAGACCGACGTGGCAGATCGCAGACGGGGAAAGATCTCGCGATCGCGGCTGGCGAGCCGAGCGCACGATCGTCGTGGCCGATGCAAGTGGCCACGACCTCGGCGTACATGTACGGGAGGACGATCACATAATCGAACGCGGGGTCGTTCGACTCCCACAAATTGCCGTGGAAGCCGGGGGCAAAGAACTGGTTGCCGCTGTCCCGCACTTCAATGTTCGCGGGCCACACGCACACGTTGAACCGATCCTGGGGCAAAAGCAAAGGTGCTTCCTCATTGCCGAAATCAAGAGATGGTCGGTGGCGGGAGAGGGGCCCTCCAAAAACTGAATTACCCCCCGCCCTCGAATCCTCCCCAGCAGCCAAGCGCTGAGCCTGCGTGCGCCCCACCCTGCGCGACGCCGCGTCTGGCGGCAAGACGTGGCCAACGTGGCCAGGCATGGCGCGCGGCACGAAGGCGCACTCGAAAGCCATGGGTAGAAGACTACCGCGGAGAACTTTGAGGGGGGTTGAGCACTTTGCGGCGACCTGAGCGCTAGCGGCAACGGGAGGCACCAGCAGAAGCAGCAGCAGCTCTCTCTCTCTCTGTGTTTTGATGTGGCTACAAGGGCATCCATTTTTTGGATGCCCTCATTCTTGCAGTGGGGCTCTGCTGGTTTCTGTATGCCGCCGCTGGCGTGCTGTTCCTGCGCTCTGTCGCTGTGTCTGTCTGCTTTGTAACCTGAGCAGCGCCGTCAGCGCCAGACGCACCAGCTGCAGCGCCGCCATCAGCAACATCACCAACAACATCGCCGCCAGGATCACAAGCAGCACCATCAGCACCGACAGCACCACCAGCAACACCACCACCAGCAACAGCACCATCAGCAGCACCGTCAGGATCATAATTGCTTCGGTAACGTTTGAAACATTATGCGGCATGGTTTGCGGCATACTTGTTCCCCACACTCATTTCTGGCTGCGCAATTAATCACGTGCAACTGAAAAGTGTTTTTTTTCCCGGAGGCGGAGGTGGGAACCCATGTTTTGGGTTCCTTTGTTTTTCCTCCCTTGAGCCCGCACATAAAATCCTCATCTCTATTTTTCTGCCTCTCTCCTGCCCCCTGCCCCCGCCCCGCTCTCTCGCCCGTCCGCGCCGCTCTTCTTTTCTCCGCCTGGCAGGCGCTCGTCGAAGGGGAGGATAGGGAGGAGGAGGACGAGGAGGAGGAGGAGGAGGAGGAGGAAGAGGAGGGGGGGGGGGGGAGGAGGGGGATATGGAGGAGCATGCGCAGCCAAACCATGCTATTCACAGTTGTTTGTTTTGTTTTTCTTGGTCAGGGAAGCCACGAAACCTTGCTAGTCAAAGGTTTCGTTGGTTTTTTTGGTTTTCAGAAGCTCCGCGAGCTTGGCCAGAAGGGGGGTCGCGGGGGCTTGTGGAGCCTCTGAACAAAAAACAAAAAACTTGTGAATAGCAGCGTTTGGTGGTTTCCCAAACCGAAGCAACCCAAACAAACATGTGAATAGCAGCGTTTGGTGGCCACGCTCCTCCCGCAAGCCTTCGTGGTGAAGGGAGAGGAGGGGGAGGAGGATAATGAGGAGGGCAGGAGGAGGATGAGGAGGAGGATGAGGAGGAGGATGAGGATGAGGAGGAGGAGGAGGAGAAGAGAAGAGAAGAGAAAGAGAAAGAGAGAGAGAGAGAGAGAAAGAAAGAGACAAACAACGCGGCGATTGGGGTAAGGGGGCCGCTGGGGGGGGGCTGACCATATATATATATATATATATATATATATATATAAATAAATATATATATATATATATAACAAGACTGCATTGGCGCTTCGCGCCATGCGCTTTGCTCCAGACCCTTCCGGGTAAAACAATAGTTCATCGCTTGCTTCAGCAGGGGTGACCTCGAAGCCTGGACGGGCGACTGGCTCATTTTTCTGATATCCATGGTGCCTGCTGACACCGCGTTCGCCCGATGCGCTTGCACGCTTGTGTGCAGGAGCTGGGGGGATAATGATTTTTTCGCATGCGAAGGCCCTTTGAGGAAGTAAGGGGCGTTCTCATGACACGCCGAAGAAGTCGCACTAGCACCGAACACATCGACTTTGTGTAGCTTCCTGAATGCCTGGAAGGCTCCAGGCAATCAGGATATCTTCGATCGTCGAACTTCGGATCTAGATAACTTGCCTCTCTCTCGACCGAGGAACTGAAACCTCGAACCTTTAGCGTGGAACCAAACTCGTAGGGTAACTCGATGTACTTCGTAGGAAAATGCCGTCTGGGTGTTTTTGGGGCTCTTTTGGGCCGTCCTGGGGCCCTCGTGGGCCGTCCCAGGGCCTTCTTGGGCCGTCTTGGGGAGCTGGGGCCCTCCAGAGGTCTTCTGAAGCCATCTAGGGCCCTCTCGGGGGCCCCCAATGACCTTCCTGGGGGTCTCCCATGCCTGTCGTGGGTCTCTCTTGGGAGCCTTCTGGGGGCATCTTGGGTTTCTCGCGGGCAATCTCGGGGCTCTCTGGGCCAGTCTTGGGGCCCTCTGGCCGTCTTCAAACCCTTTGGAGGGCCTCTTGGGCCGTCTTGGGGCGATATCGGGGGCCTATCGGGCCGCTTTGGACGCTGCGAAGTCCCCAACAGCGGATATGTTAACCTTATACGTTTTCCCGAAGAAATGAGACGATGTTTTTTTTTTTTTTTTTTTTTTTTTTTTTTTTTTTTTTTTTTTTTTTTTTTTTTTTTTTTTTTTTTTTTTTTTTTTTTTTTTTTTTTTTTTTTCGGGGGTTTCTTAACAGGCTCTTGGGGCGTCTTGGGGGCCTGTTGGGCCGTCTTCAGACCATCGAGGTTCCCCTTGGAGCGCTCTGGTGCTGTCTTGGGTCTCTCTTGCGCCTCTCCGATGACCCCTCTGATCGCCTTGAATCTGCTCGGAAGGCCCGGCAAGGCGCTCTGGGAGGCTCGGAAGGGCCTGAGGACCTTTTCTTAAGGGCGTCCAGGGGGCCGCTGAAACGTCCGAAAGGGTGTTCAGGGCGTCCCTGGGGGGGGATCCGGTTTAGTGGTGTGGGTGGGGGGGGTCCGGGTAATAAAACTTTAGAAATAGGAATACGTATATACATATCTTATAAGAGGAATAGAACACAATCCGGTACATCTTAACATGTTATGATGTAGTTTCGAATGTGTATATATAATGAAAGCATGCGATCTTATAAATAAATACATGTATTAGCATACGTTTGGACACCATGCATATTATGTTAGATAGTACAACAATGCAATGCAACATAATGCCATATGTTATTTCATGGCGGTAAACAATCGAAGCACTGCCGTACAACATGACATGTTACATTTACATGTGCTATTACAAATACAATATACAAACCACTATAGTATAGTGCGGCGTGCTGCAATCAAATGAGCTTCGCTTCGTCTTAACATGTACCATGCCATAATACATGTAGTATGGCAAAACGTGATGTGATATGGTATAACCAAAACCATCCACTACAACTTAGTACAACACAATGTTCTATGCCACCAGTAACGCAATCTAATATACGACCGCCAGCAAAACTTCTACCAGACTATAGTGTAGTATGGCCTGCTACAGTATACACACATATATAGATATATGTATATATATATGTACGTAAGCATATACACATATCCTCTGAATGTGCAGTACGAATATACACAGTGTGTGCATGTTATGTATGCATGTGCTCGTATATGTACAGCCATGTATGGAGTCGTATGACGGTAGTCATTACAACCTTTACTGTGTATGTATGCATGTCTGATATATCACATGCACGCATTTGTAGATCCATGTGCGAGCGAAAGTACACGAATACATAGAGGTATCTGCAAGTGGAACTGTTCTGGGCTGCTTTTCGATCGAAGTCAACACTCTTATCAAGTGACCTTTCTATCCGCACGATACAAAACAACAAACCAGCCACGGCAACCACGGCAACCGCACAGGATAACCACAAGATGCCCATAGGAAAGCCAGAAGACAACCACGAGAACAACGCACCGAACACATGGAACTGCCCGAAGAACAGCGCACCAGGCACGGGACAACCACGGGGCAACCAGGCAGGCGGCAGGCGCGGCAACAATGTTTTGCCGCGAACCCCTCCTTTAGCAGGACAGGACCTCTCGCCCTTGCGCAGCTTCACCCTCCCGCACGCTGGTCACGAACCAACGCCTAAATCGATTGTCAAGTGTGAAGGGGGGGGGCGGTTAGGCCACTTCGTCTCGCTTCGGTCTTAGCCTCAAACCTCCACTGGGCACATACACTCCTGCTCACATGCTACGAACTTTGTTTGAAGCAAACGCTGCGCCCCAGCGCCTCCAAAACCCAGATGCAATTGCGCAAATCTGCACTGAGGCAATTAAGTGGAAGCCCAATCCACACCCGTTGTTCTCTCGGCGTCCTCAGGGGACCCCGGGACAAGGTTAAGTCAACTATCAACGTTTGCCCGGCGAAGAGCGAGGGAATTTGCCGATGCCAGTTGATGTGCCGCCTCCCTCGACGCGCTCCCGCCCATTCCCCTTTTCCTCTCACTCCGATTCGTACTCATGGACTTCGTCCTCATCCTCCTTGCCGCTCCTCCCTATGCCTCCCCCCCCCCTCCTCGTCCTCCTCCTCCTCCTCCGCATCCCTCCTCCTGCCTGCTGCTCCTCCCTCTTGCCTTTTCTCCTCCCCTCCCAGTTGTCGGGGATGGACAGACCTCCCTTTAGCAAAACGTGGTTTAGTGAAAACGACCTCGGGTCCAAACCTGGCGGGCGCAAGCCTGGAAAATACCGCCCGCGGCGCCCTCTCGAGAACCACAAACGGACAATTCACTAATCGACGTGTCACTGTCAGGAGGTCTGCCCGCCCCCGAAGTTGCCCTCGGCGCGCCGCCGCCCACCCCCCCCTCTCGACCACGCCGTCGATCGTGTGGGACTCCATCTGCAGGGCCGCCGCCACCATCTGACCGCACGGGCCACGTGGACGTGGAGGCATCGCGCGACAGCAGGGAGGAGGAAGAGGAGGAGGAGGAGGAGGAGAAGGAGGAGGAGGAGGAGAAGCAGGAGGAGGAGGAGGAGGAGGAGGAGGAGGAGGAGGAAGGGATGGTTCTTTGGTCGGCAGGGCTCCGAGACGAGCGCCTGCAAAACGGGAGCGCAGGCAGGCTGCGGCTCTCGTGGGCCGCAGCAGCTGAAAAGGCTCCGGGCCTCTGAACAGCGCCCACACCCGGCACGGTGGTCTGATGGAAGGGGGCGGAGCACTTTGATGGGCGCCCAAGGTCCTCGGGGATCTGACGAGCATGCAGGCTCTCGCTTTCTTGTGGCAGGGGGCGCCAGGAGGCAGGGCGGAGTATGGGCAGGGGAGCCGGGGCCCGAAGATCCGGAGGAGCGAATGCGGGGAGGAACAGGTTGCCGCACACGCTCGTGCTCAAAGTGCGTACGGCAAATTCGTGCCCTGACGACTTCGGCGTTGGTCGCTAGGCACCACGCTGATCGTTCAGGGACGGGCGATCGCGGCTTCGCGGCATTTAGCGGGCGCAGAACGGTATAGAATAAGCTGTTCCGTCGCCAGGGGCGCCTGTCCCAGGGCGGCTGGAAAGAATCATGTCCCTGACGTGCTAACGTGGGGGCACGCTTTGCAGCAGCCCTGGGACGGGCACCCCTGGCGACGGACAAATTTTCCTCACACTGTGCTTCGCCCGCGAAGCAGGCGATCGCGGCCTCCCGTCAGCGCAGATCGCTCGACATCGGCCGATCCTGGTAGAGGAAAGAGAACTGTGCACATACACCGATTGTGGCCAGGCCCATCCTGAGCCCAGGATCGGTGCATACGCCCTCTTACCTTGACCTTGGCCCTCTTACCTTGGCCAGAAAGAAGGGGGGCGGGGCGGGGGGGAAGAACTGGGCACTCCTCTCGGCTACGCGTAAGGAGTGACCCTGGGTAAGAGTTACCTTTGGTGCGCGGCTTTTTGGGGGCCGCGGGGGGGGGGGGGCCAAACACAAGCGGGCACGACGCCACTGCCGCCTCGCGTTCGGCGATCGGGGACCCCAATGTGCCCGCACCAAAGTCACTCCAGCGAAGGGTCACTCTTACGTGTAGTCGATCCTGGGGCCCTAAAGGCCCCCTTTGGGGCCCTAAAGGATCTCTCTCGGGACTATCAGGGGATCCACCAGGGACCCAGAGGGGCCCCTTCATGGGCCTGAAAGGGCCCCCGTTCTGCAGCCCTCGCTGCCACACAATTGATCGCCACCCCATTACGCGACGCTCAATCACGATGCAAACCAATCTTCCCCCTCAAAAGTGTTCATAGACCGGCCAGATTTAGCCAGCGCGCAGTGCAATCTGCGAATGGCAATTCCTGGTTTGTGTCAAGCTGTCTGCAGACCTAGCCAACAGACTCTTCCCCAAATGCTAAGCATCCCTCTTTCCCCCAGCCAGCGTTTACTACTCGCGACTGATTGTTGAAGTGCTTGGTAGCAGCACGCGAGTATCGGTGGCAAGGCGCGCACTTATGCATCAAAGCCGCTTCGTGACCTGGCCGCCATTCGTGCTCGAAAGTACACGACATGAAAGCATGCTTTGGGCGCTGCACAATCCGAGCCTCACAAGGAGTTTCTGAAAGCTAAGCTCTGCGCATGTGGTATACAGCCAAGCAGCGGAGCAAGGGATACGAAACATGTCCATCCATGATCCTTACATGTCATTATGCACTTGCGGGGGGGGGGGGGGGGTCGGTATGCCGAACTCCTTTGCAGTGCCTCGGTCCCACATAGGTTTCACCAGAAACCGAACCTTCACTTGAACTACGGAGTGTCTGATAGCGGGTGCTGAAACTCAGGCGAATGACCCATGTCAATGTACTTGTCTTCTTTACCATCGTGCGGATGCGACCTCGATGCGTACAGGCCCCCGTGAAAGGGTTTTGTCGACGGCGACTGCGCCTGCGAGCATGCAGTTCAACCGCTGCGCTGTTCATTCCGATCAACGGCCACGCAGCAGCCTCGTCGTCTAATCATGATCATGGCAAGGCTGGTAAGCTTGTACACCACGGGCTGTGCAGACGTGCCAGCGTTCGAACTCACATGACCCTACGTTGTAACTGGGCGAGCGCGCTGGTGGACCCTCGCGAATGGCCTTGTGCGAGGCAAGGATACATCCACATCCACGGCCTGTAGAACCGACGTCCTGGGAACCCAGCGTGCGGTGGATATGGATATGTGTTAGCCCGACGGGGTCCGATTATATCCACAACCACCGCCTGCCGAGGTCCCCAAAGATCGATCTCCTGAGCTGTGGTTGTGGACAATTCCTCGCCTCGGACCTTGGGCCTATTCTGTCGTCATCCCTGCTCCTCCTCGTGAACGTTCACTCTCGTCCTCCTCGTCCTCTTCTCGTCCCCTTCGTCTAGATCCCCTCGTCCACCACGTCCTCTCCTCGTCCACCTCGTCTCACCCTCCCCGGGGCTCTCCTATCCTGTCCTACTCCTCGTCTCTGTCCATTCTCCGCCCTCCTCCTCCTCAGCCTCCACCCTGCTCGTACTTGTCCAACTGCTACGCCCGGCAAAGAAGATTGCCAAAACGTGCGGCCTCGGGCTCTGGGTAAACGACGAAGCCAAAACCGCGGCTCCTGCACGCGGGATCCAACCACCTCGACATTCGAAACTCGATCCGCGATCGTCGATCCTTGATCGTCGAGCCTCGACCGTCAATTCTCGCTGCGCCTCCCCGATGGCGGACGCGCGGGCCCCACCAACCCCCGCCGGAAGCGGCCCCTACCTGGCCACACCGGAGTAAGGTGAGATCCGGGTAGCCAGCCCGGACCCATCGTGCGCCTTCATCTTTCTCAGCACCCCCACCGCAACGTCTTCCGCTCCAGCACGCGACTCTGTAGCTGCGTCGTCGTCCAAACTTTCTTGCTCCATGCTCCCGCCCCCCCCCCCTTGACTCCGCAGACATCCCTCATCCCTCGTTCTCTCCGCTTTCGATGCAGGTCCCTTCCTCCTCCCCCCAACTGCTCCCAAACCAATGTCCTCCTCCTGAATGACTTCTCCCTTCTGCTCCCTCGTCCCTTCTGCCTCCACCCTCCCCCCTCCTTCTCGACTTTACTCTCGCTGCCTCCTCCTCCTCCTCCTTTGCCGTCCCCTTCCTCATGATCCCCATCTTCTTTCGTCTTCTCCTCCCTCATCCTCCCTTGCTCTGCCCTTCTCCTCACCAACGCCCCTGCGGGTTAGTGAAAAGCTCGACACCGGGTGCAAAATACAATAAATCGAAAGCCCCTCGAACCCAGGGGTCCCTTTAGCCAGGTAATCTTGGAAACGCCTTTGGGTTCAATGCCCCACTTGCGTCTGGATTCTCATCACGTTTCTCTAATTTCCCCGTTCCCCTGCTCCTGTCCCCTCCCTCCTCGTTCCTTCCTCCTCCTGCTCCCGGCTACTGCTGCTCGTGCTCCTCCTCCTCCTCCTCCTCGGACTCCTCCTTCTGCTCCTGCTCCGTCTCCCATCTCCAATCTCTCGTCCTGGTCTTCACGTGATGATTATCTATACCTGTCCTACAAACGTAGTCAGATCCTGACCGCTGATAGTCTCCAAATCGGTGTGGCATCTTCAAATGCGCCATGTGTTCAAATGCCAATCGCTTGAATGATGCGTGGGGTGACCCGTGCGCTCTTCGATTTGCCCGCGCCTGAGACTAGCTGCGGCAGATACGGAATGCAATACTATCGTACCGTCGCTGTAGATGGGGGGAACGTGAACACACCCAACGCATCCAAACTGTTAGTGGGAACCCAGACACATCAAGAAAACATGTCGCAAAAGATGCTGCAACGAACACGACACATCAAACGCCAACGGGCATTCACGGCTGGAACTCACTCTGGCATCACATCATGTTTCCCCGACTGGACGTAACATGTGCTGAATGCCACTGGTCAGCGCCACGTCGTGACTCAAGCTTCAGTCGTACGTCACCAAACCCGAACGTACTCATCACACACCGTCGGCTCGACAACACCAAACCAGTCGAGCTGAGACTGAAAACCAATAGGCAAGACCTGAACAGGCAACCATTTGCTCCATCTTGCCACATTCAGGAAGAGGGATGAGCAACCGACGCCCGCCCCATGACGGTCAACATGCGCGGACCGCTCTTGGGAGGTACCATTCCTGAGATGGAATTCCAACGGCTACGGACAGTGTTACATGCTGTTCGTACTCCTGCATGCCAGGCATCATGGTGAGACAGAACAGCGCCAATCACATCGCGAGTCAAGCGAAGCGGCGGGCACTGTGCGCATTGAATTTCTCTGCGCGTCGTGCGCTGTCGCGCCTCGACTCACCTGACCCCCACATAAGCAGTCCAACATTGTCACGCGTGCAAGCGCCCAAGGCGCCAATGCGACACGTGTCCTGGACATGTGTTCGGCATGCGCCCCAGAACACGAACCGTGGCTGCTCTTGCACCTTGACGTGCTCGTGCCATGTACCGGCACTGCTCGGACAGTCCTGCACGCACCGGCTCCGCTTAGCCGCCCAACCCCCACAACCACCGCCGCATCCGAAGCAATGTGCGCCCCCCGCAGTCGAACTCCCAGCGCTCCCGCGGACCCTCCACACCTCGCGGCCCTGTCGGCGCACCTTGCCACGAGCATGGCGCTCGCGGTGGTCCGGCCGCGGGGCGCTGGGTGGGCGCCGACGTGCGGCGGAGGCGCCCCACCTCAGGCTTCGAGGACCAGCTAGGAGCATGGCGATCTGAGCGCACAAGCGCTGGAGCCTTAGAGGAGCAGGGCGACCAGGAGGGGGAGGAGAGGGAGGACGGGGAAGGGGGGGGGAGCAAGCGAGGTGCAAACGCGTCTTATCTGACGTCCTACCCCTCCCTCCCATCCCTTACCATGGCGCAGATATCCTCTCTATTCGCACAGTCGGATGTCGAGCAAGGCAAGGATCGCGAGAGGGTACGCGGTGCATG